ATATATATATATATATATATATATATTATATATATATATATATATATTATATATATTATATATATTTATATATATTATTTTATTTTATTTTTTTTTTTTTTTTTATCCTGTTTTAATACTTTAATATATACAATTTAGCCTCCCTGCCTCCGCCATATTAGGTCTAACGAGGGCGTGCCCCCCTCCTCCCCCAGGGTTCAGCTCTGACGGGGGCGAGGACTTGTGCGAAGTGCTGGTCCAGGACGTGGAGGCCCAGACGCCCTCTACGTCTCCTCCGCCACCAACACCCACCACCCCGCCCCACCCCCACCACCCCCAGCCCACCACCCCAGCAGCAGTCCGGGCGCCATCACTCCTCTTACCACGCCCACTCCAACAACCTCAACAACAATACCGCCCTCGAGAACAACAACATGGACGTGGAGGTCAGTTTTTTATTTTTTCTATCTATCGATGTATCTATTTTCATTTCATTCTCTTTTTTTTTCTTCTCGATCGGCTTGTGCGTGGTCGAGGCCAAAGACGTAGATTAAGCTTTAGATTAAGTTATATATTATTATCTTTTATTAGGCCGCGTCTTGTAGGTGTGAATTCTCTCACTGTAGGTTTACGATACGTCTTTTATTTCAGGAATTTGAAGGTGATAATTTTAACGTTTTCTTTCAGCGAAGCGAGAAGAATCATACGTGAATGATGATCAAAATGGTTATGCTGTTTATTGTAAGAGAAATGGGTTTATATATTGTAAGATTAAATTTATTGAAATGGGTGAGGCAACAGTCTCGGAATCCTCTTGGTATCCATCTTCGGATTCCAAGAGGATTCCGAAACTGTTGTCTCACTTATTTCAATAAATATAGTCCGCGCATTGTGGGTTTTTCTACCATTTTATAAACACGGTAGAGTGGTCTATTCATTCATATTGTAAGATTGCAAATTAATGGGTATTAACCACTGTATGACACTTGCAATATGTTTTTCTTTTTAAATATCATGTACCCTGCTAGCGTGGATGCACAAGCTGGAGCGTCTGAAATGTTACCTCCAAGAGCGTGTGCGATGAATCAGTGTAAATAAAAAGAAAATGCACTTCGCAGCCGGAGAGGGGAGACTGAGCCATCTTGAACAATGGTTTAATCTCCTCAGACCATGTTTCAGCAGTATCTCGTATCAGCGGCACTTGCAAGAGCTGTGCAGAGGATATGTCGCGTCTTGTAACCTTAACCAACTTCAGAAGGTTGGAAGAAAGATATTGTCCCAGGAAATATATCACAAATATTTACCTTCTGTGCTTTTAAAGACACAAGAGATAAGAGTGAACAAACAAATACACATAATGATTTTAAATCTTCATTACGCTGTAACGGTTTATGTAATTATTATCAATTATACGAACAGCAATAATATAAACGATAACAGAATCATATTGGTGATGATATTGCAAATGACACTGTCACTAATGAGCCAATTACCATGTAAGCAACTGACATTGGTGTTCATTTCTATCAATTATGAGGACGATAATTTGATAGCAGTTGTGATCATGATAACTGTTGTGAAACTGATGGTACTGACGTTGAAATGAGTGGAAGTGATGCGGAGAATAGAGAAGTGAAACGATAATGATAATTTTGGTGGTCGGATGTTGGTATAAACATCGAGATGAATCTTATTGCAATGTTTATGCAATTGCAATACTTATCTTCATCATCACCGGAGAATTCCCTCATTATTCGTTCATGCATCAAATTCATACTTTGTTTCACATTTTATCCCGGAAAGTATATTCCTCATTAACATAATTTACGGCTCACTTTATACTCTTCTCTCGTTAATCTTAGTCTATGTTTCATCTTTCGTATCATAATTTTTTTTTGTTGTGTATCTCTTTAATGGATCATTTTATACTCTTCTCTTTTTAGTCTTTTTTCATCATTCGTATTATAATCTATTTTTTGTTATCGTTGTGTGTCTTTTATGGATCACTTTATACTCTTCTTTCTTTAGTCTTTTTTTTTCATCATTCGTATCATAATCTATTTTTTTTTTTTATCGTTGTGTATTTCTTTTATGGATCATTTTATACTCTTCTCTCTTTAGTCTTTTTTCATCATTCGTATCATAATCTATTTTTTGTTATCGTTGTGTATGTCTTTTATGGATCATTTTATACCCTTCTCTCTTTAGTCTATTTTTCATCATTCGTATCATAATCTATTTCTTTTCGTTGTGTATTTCTTTTTAAAACCAAAATGAACTTTTTTTTTTTTTTTTTTTTTTTTTTTTTTTTTTTTGCTTGTAACTACACTATGATTTAGTCAGAAGTGTTCGACTCTCGCCTCGTCGGGGTCACGCCACAAGGTCAAAGGTTAGGTGAATAAATCCTGCGTTGAAGGTCGAGCGAGGAGGGAGGGAGGGAGAGGAGGGAGTGGGGGAGGGGAGGGAGGGAGGGAGGAGGGAGAGGGTGAGGGAGGGAGGGAGAGGGGGGAGGGAGAGGGGGAGGGAGGGAGGGGAGCAGGAGGGAGAGGGAGGGAGGAGGGAGGGAGCGGAGGAGGGAGAGGGAGAGGGAGAGGGAGAGGGGGAGAGGAGGGAGGGGGGTGGATGGTGAGGGAGAGAGAGGGAGAGGAGGGAGGGGAAAGGGGGGAGAGGGGGAGGGGAGGGAGAGAGGGAGAGGAGGAGTGGTGGAGGGAAGGGGGAGAGAGGAGAAGGGAGGGAAAGGAAGAGGAAAGGAGGGCAAGGAAGGGAGAAGGAAAGGAGGGAGAGGAAGAAAAGAGGAGGTCGAGGGAGAGGGAAAATAGGAGGGAGATAAGGAGGGCAAAGGGGGAGGGAATCGAGGAAGAGGAGATAGAAAAGGAGAAGAAGAAAGAAAAGAAAAGAAGACACATCAAACGAGAATCGAAACAGAAGACAAAAAAAAAAAAAATAAATAAAACAAAAAGAAAGACAAGAAGACAAAATGAAAGATAAAGAGAAGGAAGAGAAGAAGAGACCAGATTAACCAGTCACACAAGGTCAAGGGTGAAGCGAAGATAAGATCATTCTCACACAAAGTAAGACCTAAAAAACGATACAAAACTCGTTCTTACGGACAACACGTTCGCAAATATCACTATAAAACCCCCACAAAACGAATTATTAAACCCCAAAGCAAATAAACAAACAAACAAACAAAACTAAACACAACCCTGCCACGCCAAAAAAACAAACAAACAAACACATATAAACAAAACTAAACACAACCCTGCCACGCCAAAAAAACAAACAAACAAACAAACACAAACACAATAAACAAACTAACACAAGCCACGGCCAAAAAAAAACAAAAAAAAAACAAAAACAAACACATATAAACAAAACTAAACACAACCCTGCCACGCCAAAAAAACAAACAAACACATATAAACAAAACAAAACACCTGCCACGCGCCAAAAAAAAACAAAAAAAAAACATAAATACAAAAAACAAAACAAACCACGCCACAAAAAAAAAACAAACAAACAAACACATATAACCAAAAACTAAACACAAAAACAAAAAAAAAAACAAAACAAAAAAAACAAAACTAAACACAACCCTGCCACGCCAAAAAAACAAACAAACAAACAAACAAACACATATAAACAAAACTAAACACAACCCTGCCACGCCAAAAAAAAACACATATAAACAAAAGTAAACACACCCTGCCACAAAAAAAAAACAAACAAACAAACAAACAACACATATAAACAAAAACTGAACAAACCTTGCACACGCCGCTCTCCTCCCCCCCCC